CTGCAACAACAAAAAACGCCCGTTGCGGTCGCGTTCGGCCCCGTGTGTCACCACGGTGGGAGCGGGGCACACGGGGGGGTGACAGCGCTGGGGGGGGCAACCGCAGCCCTGCACGCCGGGTTCCCCTCCCCCTCAAAAATCAAAGCTATGGAAAATCTCTTTCTCTCCGTCCTGCCACCTTTGGGTGCCCAGGAAGGAGGCAGCGCTGCGCCCGCGGGGCCGGAGGTCGGAGCACCCCAGAGCCCCGGCAGCGGGGAAGCGCAGAGCCCGGAGCCATTGGGCCGAACGGGGCAGCACGGCTCCGCGTGTTGACAATTCCTGCGGGTTAATGATGTCACGGTAAATGAATCCTGTGAGTAACTCAGCTCCCTGCCCCGCCGTTACCCAACATCAGAGTTCGTCCCACATCGCAGCCTGGGGAGCAGCGGGGTTACGTGGGGTCCTGGAGCAAACGTAACTGCGGTGCTGATTTGTAATGGTTGTGTTGAGAGGCAACGCGAGGAGCCCGAACCCTTCCGGAAGCTGCATGATTGATGCATTTTACTCGGGATGTGTTTTCCTATTGGGACGATGCCAGTTTGCCCTGAGATATATGAATTTTTAACACTCGAAAATGAAAAGCTCCTCTCTGAGGCCCCGAGCTACCTGTGAATGGGAATGGAGTAATGGGAAGCTGCATTCAACTTTAAATAGAGCTTAAAATGGAGTCTGGTGGCTCTCAGTGTATTTCCAGCACCCCATTCTGCCCTGCATGGAAAAGAGGCTCCAGCACGGCTGGCTGCTCCCTGGGCTGTGCTGGGCAGGGCTGGAGTTTGCTGGCACACAGGACATAAGGGTGGCACCGACGTAATGGGGGTGATGCTGTCTCTTTCCTTTGGCTGTGGGGACAGAGAACCACACAGCCCCCACCCAGGACAGATCCTGCAAGGGGTCCCAGCCCAGCAGATCCTGCAGCCTCTGGGACCTCGCAGCAGCCCAGGGAGCAGCAGGGCACTTGGTGGTGCCTCCCAGGTCTCTGCCCGTTCCACTGGGTTCATCCCCTGGCCCCAACAGGGTCGAAAGCAGTTAATTGTTGTTAATTTTAGGAGTATCTATCTCTGCAGGCACAGGGGACCCTCCGTATCATCACCCCCATCCCATCGTTATTGCAGTCACCGTCTCCATTATCAGCCCCATCCCCAGATTAGATCCCATCACCTCCCCATCCCCATCCCCACTTCCATCACATCCACATTTCTTCCCCATTCTCATTCCCATCTCCATCACCTCCCCATCTCCACCCTATCCTCACTACCATCTCCATCCCCACCCCTCATCCTCTTTCCACACCCCATCCCCATTCCATCCCATCCCCATTCCATCCTCGCCCCCATTGCCTCCCTATCCCCATCTCCATCCCCACCCTCATCCTCTTTCCAACCCCATTTCCATCCCATCCTCATCCTCATCCCCATTCCTATCATCTCCCCATCTCCATCTCAATACTCATCCCATCCTCATTACCATCTCCATCCCCACTCCCCCAATTTCTTTCCAATCACCATCCCTCTCCCACTCCACCCCCATCCTCACCCCACTCCACCCCCATCCCCATCTCTGTCCCCATCTCCATCCCTATCACCTCCACATCCCATCCTCATTACCATCTCTCCCATTCTCTTTCCTACCCCCATTCCATCCTCATCACCTCCCCAACTCCATTACCACCCCCTCTCCATCTCCACCCCATACTCACTACCATCTCCATCCCCACTCCTCATCCTCTTTCCAGCCCCATCCCATCCACATTCCCATCAGCTCTCCATCCCCATCTCCATCTCTACCCTCGTCCTCTTTCCAACTCCATCCCCATCCCTATCACCTCCCCATCCCCAAAGCCATCCTTATCCCATCCTCATTACCATCTTCATCCCCAACCCCCCAACCTCTTTCCAATCCCCATACCCACTCCCATACCCACTCCCATCCTCTTTCAAACCCCCATTCCCATCCCATCCCCATCCTCACCCTCATCTCTGTCACCTCCCCATCCCCATTTCCACTGCCGTTTCCATCCTCATTACCACATCCATCCCTACCCCCCTCCTCTTTCCAAACCCCATTCTCAACTCCATCCTCTTTCCAATCCCTCTCCCCACCCCGGCTCCCCCCATGTAGGGTGTGAGGGCACCAACCCCCACTTCTTCACCAGGAAATCCCAGGACTGCGCCCATCCCTGCACTGCTTCCATTTCTCACACCACTTGGCTCCGTGCTCCTTTCTCCCCCGGATTTCTCCTTTCCATGACCGCTTCGCATCGCCTTCCTCGCAGCCTCTCTCCCAGGCACTGCGCCGTCAGCTCCCCCAGCACATCTGGCTGCACACCAGCAGCGGGCAGCTCCAGCCACGGGCGCCTTTGTTCTCTGCCTTTCTCCATCCCGCTCCTTCCCACGCTGACCCCCAGGTCATTGTGTGAAAGTTCGGCCCTGCCTGAACTCAAAGGCAGTTCCTCCTCCTGCTGCTCAGCCCCGGCGTGCCCTTATGGTTACAAACAGCCGGCGTGAGGGAGACTCCAAGGAGAGGGGAGTGGGCCATGTGTGAGTTGTGCCGTCACCGCTTTGGGGATAAATTTAGGTTTTGCAGTGGAACAATCGCTGTGTTGGAGGTCAGAGGGTTTTCCCACCGGCGCTTCTCACCCAGACGGCGCTGGGTCAGCGGGCAGAAGGTCGCCCTTGCCAGGAAACCGGAGGGCTTTGGTGAACATGGGAGGCTCAGCAGGCAGAGAAATTGGACTCTTATTTTCACAGTCATCGCTCAATTGGAACAACATGTGTTTCCAATTAGCGGCTCTCCCTGCCTGGGCTCACAGCTCATCCACCCCAGGAGGGTGATGCGCATCGGAGCGCGCCGTGTGCTCCCAGCCCCACGGATCCCAGCCCAGGGCTGAGTGCTGCACTGTGCCCAGCCACAGCTTCACTGCTCCTTGAGGGGGTGATGGGGCACATGGGCACCTTGGTGCTTTTGCCACTGGCCTGGCGGTGCCGTGAAAGACTCTGCATTCATCGGTACAGCAGGGTATTAAATAACACTGGGGATGGTGTTGGTGGTCATAGTGGTAATGGTGGTGATGGTGGTGGTAATGGTTATAATTTCAGTGGTCTTAATTTGGACAGTCATAAAAGAATTCTGTGATTCTTTGACTGCCTTGGCGATGGTGATGGCAGTGGTGATGGTGATGGTAATAATTTGGGGCATCTAACTGCTATCAAGAGGCTGCTCTGCTTGGACAGCACTGCTCCTGGAAATGACTGCAGCCTCGCAGGGTTTGGGCTCAGCCTTGCTGGGCACCATGGGCTGTGTGAACTCCCCTTGTCCACCCTTGCAGGAGCAGTGCCCAGACCTGGCGGCACTGAGAACAGCCTGGCACCCAAAGGCTCCCTCTGACCTCCAGCAGCACTCAGTGCCTGCGGGTGATGACGACCCCCAGCCTGCTGGCACAGCACAAACCACTTTTTGGGCACATTGAGTGCTGCCCTCCGGGTCACCATTGTGCCAAGGAAGGCTCTGCCCAGCGCTGGGTGCCAATGGCTGGTGATCGGGGTCTGGTGCTGAACCCATGGACCGCAGCAGTGACCCTGGGATGCTGCCTCCCCCTCTGCCCCTATGGGACCACGTCTGCTTTTCCCACGGGAAGGGAGATGTTGGCTCAGGACAGCACGGGCGATGGCCATGGGAATGCCAGGCAGAGCGGATACCCTTTATCTTTATCCTTCTCCTTCTTCTTATCCATCCAACAAAAAGGAAAAACACATGGGATTTTTGGCACAGTCCTGAAAGTCCCAGCTGAGAACCAAACCTCTGCCCAGCACCTTCCGGCTCGGTTCGTGGTTCACTCTCCATCCGGATCCACAGCCACGCACAGGAGCAGCCATGGTAACAGTGACACCCAGCCCAAAGGCACACTGAGAGGCTCACGTACAGGAAAGCTGCACCGTGACGCATCCAGGAACTGGGAACATTTCCTGCTGCTGCAGATGGTCACATCAGCAGGTGATGGGAAGGGACAGCATGGCCTGGGGGACTGATGAGAGGTGACAGACTGCAGCTCCCCTTACCAAGGGCACATTCCTGCAGGGTCTGTGAATACGTTTTAGTCTTTATCGGAGGTTTTTCACTCTGCAGCTCAGCAGCACAGGCAGCGTGAGGTGTTTGGGAAGCACAGATCTCTGTGTCGGTGCCAGCACCTCCCGGCTCCAAACAGGGCCAGTGTCACAGCCCTGAGCTGGTCCCAGCTGCAGGCCCAGACCCCACGGGCTGCTGAGTGACCACAATGACACCGACTGCTCTCCGGGTGATGCTGAGCCTCAGTGCAATGCTCTGTGTGCATGGGGACCCAGCACTGTGATCGTCACCACAGCTTCAGGGTGAGCAAGCAGCACCATGCTGTGTGCCTGCACAGCCCCTGCATGAACGCAGCTTCAGAGCTCGGAGCTCACTGGCGTGATTCTGGGGGTCACCAGTGCTGGAGATGCCTTGAGCCCATGGGAGAGATGGATCCTCACTGCTGGCACGCCATCCTTTAACCTTGGACTTTAGCAAAAGGGCCAAAAATAGCCGCCAAAAGGGAAGAGCCGACCTTTGCTATTTGAAGAAATGTTTGCACTGTCAGCACGAGCGCGGCTCATTCGGGGGATTTTGTGAAAGGTGCCAGGCCAGGAGCTTCATGCTCACCCCAACAGCAGCCAGGATCCCCACTGGGAGGAATGATCCTCCCCAGAATGCGAGCAGAGCTGCTGGGCTTCCCCAGAGTCAACAGTGCTCCTCTGCTCGAATGCACGGCTGTGGGGTGGGAAGGAGGGGGCGCTGACACTGGGAATGGACCCAGAAGTTGTTTGGGATTGAATGGCAAATCCTAACGCCGTGCTCATGGTTTGAATGTGCTAAAGCAAAGCATCCTCTGGAGGGGCAGCGCGGGGACCCAGCACTGCATGGCCACAGCTGCACTGCATGGTGACCCGGCGGTGCTATGGGGCCGATTCTGAGCGCTGCTGGCCCAGCCTCAGATCCCAAAAGTACACAGCCAGAGCGCTGCCCGCAGGTAACCCGCCCCACAGCTGCCTCCCGACCTTCCTGTCAGGCTGGACTGAAATTAGAAGCAATTAAAAATTAATCTTGGCGCGGGCTCAGATCAAACTTTCTACCCATTTTTAGCTGCATGTCGCTTTGGGGATGGCGTGCAACTGTGTTCAGCCAGTGATGCAATGTGTGCGGGGGTCTGCAGGGCGTGAACGGACCCGAGGGCAGCCAGTGGTCAGAGCTGAGGTGGGGAGAGGCGAGGTGAACAACCGGGGCGCACGGCTGCAGCAGTGCTGGGCTGCTCCTGCAGGGCTTCGTGCCCACCTCGCAAACGGACGGCTCTGTTCTCTGCTTCTCAGTTAATTCTTGCTCAGCGCCTTCATTCAGTTCCTCTTCCAAATTTGCTCTTCTAAATGAAGAGGACTCATGGGATGAGGCATGCTCGGGGCAAAGCGAACAGAGCTGGGGCTGGGAGTGGGGACAGCAGAGGGGCTGAGCCACGGCCCCACAGCATTTCTCCTGCAGGGGCACCCGGCAGCCATGGGTGCTCATGGTGGGACCACTGCCACCTGTGCCACGATGCACCCCTGGGGCTGCCACAGCCGTGGGACCTTCCCCAGTGTCCTCTCACGTTGTACCAACCTGTCCCCACTGTCCCCACTGATCCGTCCCCACAATTCAAGGCTCCATTACAGAACCAGGTGAGCACCGTTCTGGTGCTGATGCAGGAGCCCGGCGAGCCCCCGGGCCATCTGTCCCCGAGGAGCACCAGGGCTGGAAACAAGCAAAGCCCCCTAATGCCTGCAGCCAACATGGCTTTGATCCAGAGGAATGGGGAATTTCCAGCTCCTGCTCTCTGCTTTGGCACGGATGGCCACTGAGAAGGCCAGGTGTCGCATGATGAGTGGCTCTGGGAGGCAGCCCAGCCAGGACACGGCCTGGGAGCTCGCGGGGAGGGCTCGGTGTGTTCAGTGGGCACCTGTCCTGGGTCAATCCATGGCGCCCTTGGCTGTGGCACTGCGGAGCCCCATGTCCCAGACACTGCTGCAGGTGTCAGACGGCGGCGGGGAGGAAAATGCCAACCCTCATTGATGTTACTGCGACAGCGAGCCCCAAACCTGACCAAACGGATCAGGCAGAGATGGGAGAGCTGAGCAATTAGTGCAGTTATTATTAGTGCTGTCAGGACGGGTTTGCAGATAGGCAGGGTGGAGGAATCTGTGCCTGGCGTGGGAGAAGCGCTGGGGTTGTGGCACCGCACGGGGATGTGCTCAGGAGTCCTGAGATGGGGACCAGGGACATCGCTGGGCATCAGAGTGAGCCAAAGGAGTGGGCAGGCACTGCTGCCGGTGTGGAGCCCCGAAATCACTGCTCTCATCACTCCAGCCAGGACTCCCAGCGATGCAGCACCAGGCGGAAAGGTGCCCCACCACTTTGTTGCTGTATGTAGGGCATCCCCAGGGAGCCCGCAGCAGCTTGCGCCTCGCCAGGGCTCCCCATGGTGCTCCAAGAGGCGCCTAATTCATCCTTTCAGAGCAGAGATCAGATGGATTAAGGCTCGCTGAACGCTTGCCAAAAGAATTGCCATTAGGCCCCGGAGAGCTTAATCTCCACTGGACTAAAAGCAGGCTGGCTCACCCTGTCTGCGAGGGGATCAGTGCCCAGGGCAGGGTCTGGGGGGCGACGGGATCCTCCGTGTCCTGTAGCCCCAAGGCTGGTGCTGCTGTGCTCCAGCCCACGCTGCCCTGGGGTGTGATGCACAGGAACCACGGCGGGTGCTGCAACTCCGCATGCTGTTGTTCTCTGATGAGCTGTTCCCTGATTTCCTCAGTTATCTCCTTGCAGATTAGCTTCCCCAAACTGCCCTTGCCCGCGTGCTTCTGGGCTGACTCACGTTTGTTATTTCCTGACCATATCTCTGATTACCTTCTCTGCCCTCTCTCAGGGCCCAGCACTTCTCAGGGTGTCCCTGACCCACTGCTCCCCAACCTCAGGGCTGAGTTTGGGGACCATGAAGTCATAGCATATGACTCATATAGTCATAGAATCGCAGAATCATAGAATCACAAGGTTGGAAACGACCTGCAGGATCATTTAGTCCAAGTCCTCCCACACTGCAGCACCCCACTGGGGTGGATGGAGGGCCCCACTGGTGCTAATGGAGAACCCCAGTGGTGCTGCTGGAAGCCCCAAAGTTCTCCAGCATCCCTCCCCTCACCAGCACTGTATGGGTGAGTCTGGCTGCCTTCACAAAGAGCCACGAAAGCCTCCATGCCATCCCTGCTTGGACCAACGCAACCCTGGGGCCAGCAGCCTCCATCCCTCCTCATCCCCTTCTCTCCCCACTCCTGTCCCCTGGCTCTGTGGGTGGGGGCTGGGCACCACCCTCCTGTCCCCATCGAGATGATGCAAGCAGAGCTCGGTCAGCAGCGATATGCTGTTCCAGCAAAGCAAACACAGCTCTCAGCCTCGTGCCATTGCAACAGCCCCAGGAGCAATGTGCTGCCTGCATGGCGCTGGTGAGAGCCCGAGCCCATGGCTCTGCTGCAACATGAGCCCTGGGGCTGGGATGGGACCAAACACTGCCTACGTGGCCAAGGAAGTGCAAAGGATGTCTCCCAGTCGGTGACATTCCCACACCGGCGGCACAGGAACCAGGACCAGGAGCGGGTCCTGCACTGAGACACTGAGCTGAGATGGGCAGATGTGGGTGAGAGTGAAGCTGAGCCTTCCCCTCGCTCCCTTGGTGTCATGTTCACAGAAGCAGCATGTTCCAGCAGAGCCATAAACAGGGGGAAGGAATAAACCTGCCTTTATCTGCCCGCAGGGCCTTGGGGCTAGCTAAGTTTGGAAATGAACTGAAAAAACAGGGTTTGTTTTCACACTGAGCCGAAACCAGAGCAGAAGCCGGGAGGGGGACTTTTTTGCTTTCAAGCATCACTGGATGAAGGCTATTCCTTTCCCCGCCACCCACAGGACTATTTCCCAACAGGTTTTTAAAGCTGTGCCTTGCAACACCATTGTTTTGAGCAGAAAGCATCATGTGCTGGCCAGGCTCGTGGTGCCGACTCGCTGTTGCTCGGGAGTCATGCTCATATCGCAGCCTGGTCAGAAGCCACAGGTCTGGCCCCAGCTCCGCTCAGTGCTGCTCCTCACATGGGCACAAACAGGTTCCTTCCCCTCTGAACCTTAACCCAGCAGCTCCCTGGCACAGTCTCAGTGTCAGTGAACTTGAAATGAACTGTTTTGGATCACCTTCCCCGCAAGAAGCTGTGGGTGCTGCAGATACGGAGATTTTTATCCAGGGATGGTTATGAAGTTTTCATCCAGAGGAAGCCATTCCCAAACAAGCTATCACCTTTCTTTTTGCCCCTTCTGCTCCACATCTGGGAAGACTCATGGTACTACAGGCAGCCATCATCATCCCCAGCACATCACCACTCATTGCCACCAATGGCCAGCCCACCACCAATCACAAAGTCATCACAACCCCGTTGCTGCCAATCACAACTCCCCACACCGATCATCACTCGTCACAGACCCACCGTTAATCCATCAGCACTCAATGCCACCCATCCCCAACCTGATCCCTTCAATCACAAACCCACCACCAACCCACTGCTGCCAATCTCCACTCTCCACCACCCATCACCACTCAATGGTCGTGCTACCCATAGCCAACCCATGGCCAACCCATGGCCATCCTATGGCCAACCCATAGCCAACCCATGGCCAACCCATGGCCATCCTATGGCCGACCCATGGCCAACCCATGGCCAACCCATGGCCATCCTATGGCTGACCCATGGCCAACCCATGGCCAACCCATCACCCATCCCCAACACATCTCCAACCCATTGCTACCCATCACAACTCTCCATCACCCATCACCACACAGTGTTACCCATGACCAACCCATCACCCACCCCCAATCTATCCCCCAACCTCAACTCTCCGCCATCCCACTGCTGCCAATCTCCACTCAAAAACTCATCACCACTCAATGCCACCCATCCCCAACCCATCACCAACCCCCTGCTAACCCATCGCTATTCATTATCATCCATGATCACCCCATGGTGATCCATCACCCATCCCTGACCCACCTCCAACCCATCGCTACCAGTCTCAACTCTCCACCACCCATCACAAACCCATCACCACTCACTGTTACCCATGCCCAACACATCACCCAACCCTACCCTATTCCCCAACCCGCTGCTGACCCATCGCCATCCATGCTCAATGTGGACCATGCCCTCCTGGTGACACAAAGCCACAGCTGGATCCTGTTTGGTGATGGAGGGGACACTGCATGTGTGTGCAGGGCTGGGGCAGCCCTTCCAGCCTCTGGTGCGCTCCATGCTCACAGCCCACAGCCTGCAGTATGGAAGCCATACATAATTAACAACAGCCGTGGTAGAACGGCCGCGTGCTCAGGCCCTGCGCTCATCCCCAGGCTCTTGCATTTATATTTCATGAGCACATCCCTCAGAAGCACAGTTTTAAGGAAAAAAAAAAAAAAGAAAAAAAGAGAGAGAGAAACTGTCAGCTCAGGTTCAGCTCTGCCCTCGCTCGCTTCCAGGCTGTCTGCTTGTTTGTTCTTGCCTCAACCCCTTCATTAACCTGAATTAAAGCGTCATTCAAACCGACAGCTCCTGGCTGCCTCACGGCGAGGCTGTTTGGGACGATCAGCAGCCGAGGGATGCGCCGGGCACCCGCAGCGTTTGTGCCCTGCCATCTTCCTTCCCTGTGACCTTTGTCGACGGCGTAAAGCAACCCCCAGCGCAGCATTTGCAGCTTCACCCGGGTGTAAATGGAGACGGTCGATCATTTTCACACGTGGGGAAAAAAAATAATAAATAAAATGATTTAAAAAAAAATCACTTTTTGATGGACTTGTGCCGCCCTTTTCCCACGTTGGATCATCCAGCGCAGTTTCGGTGCTGCGCGCTCTCACGCGTTTGGCACACAATCGATGTGGTGCCGTGTGCGCTGCTCAGCGAGAAAGGAGCCGCCTCTTCTCCAAGGTGTGAAAGGAGGCCATGTGTGAAAGCAGCTCAGCCCTTTGCTAGGTCGGATGGGGATCGCTTCCGAAGCGATGCAGAGCACATGGATTCCCAAAGAGCGGCTGCTCCGCAGAGGGAGGCGATTCCTGCAGGGCTGGATGTGGGGGGCGATGCTGCGCCCCCGAGGTTCAATGCTTGGGAGAGAAACGTCTCAACACGGAGAGGAGATGCAGTGGACACACCGGGCTGTGTTGCTCTCCTACAGCCAGTGCTCCTTTCTGGCTTGAAGAAAAATCAACTTCTGGGGTGGGATTTGCTGCCACTTTAGGGATTTGGACATCAATTTCTAAGGGGGATTAAGAATCCCAATCCCTTAAGCAGCTTTGGCAGCCCCATCCCCAGCTCCCCTCACCGCAGACCCCCAGGCAGCCCCGCTCTGATGGCTGTGACCCCCCCAGTGTCACACACAGCTCTGCCCTCCCTGTAGTGATGGAGGTTGGGGTGATGCTCAAAGCATCCCAGCCCCAGGAACTCTGTGCACAAAGCATCTGGGGCTGGGGACGGAGCAATGTTTCACCATCCAACACCACATCATTTCCTTGCTTTTAGGCTGTTTTCTGGAACGTTTTGGGGCTCTGGGTGCTGCTCTTCAATGCCACAGTCCTTTTCTGTCCTCACCCCACTGGAGACACTGTGGGCTCATGTCCCCAAGGGCTCAGGATTGTGGGGAGGGCCAGGGGCAGCCCCAAGCCTGCTGCTGGTTATGGTGCATAAGAGTGGGAGAAAGCGCCCAGGAACCTCATGAGCAGCCCCTCCTCATCAGTCACCATCTCCATGGCGATGGAGTTCAGCAAACCAATGGGTTATGAGCCACCCCACCGCGTGTGGGGCGTCTGCGGCACTCAGCAGCCTAAGGTGGGGCTGTGGGGCTGAATGCTGAGCAGTGTGACCCCCATCCCAAGGTGTGCTGCTGGAAGATCCCATAGGAGCACCGTGGCTTGGTGCTGCTCACAGATCCTCACGTGGGATGTGCCCATGGCACATGGAAAGTGCTTGGGACAGGGCACATCTGGGTCCTGAGGCTGCAGCAGGGGCTCTCCCTCTCTCCTTGCCAGCCCAGGTCCCTTCAGTCTGAACCTCACAGCATTAATCCAATGCTCACTGTGCCAGAGCTCACGTTAACACAGCATGAAATGCCTGCAGGCAGCTGAAAACCAGGCAGAACCCTCCTCTGCCCATGGGGAGGAAAAGGCAGCGGCTGGGATGGGTTTCCTCTGAAGATAAACCACAGCCCAGACAAGCGAGCATTTGGAAAGCCTGTGTCTCCCAAAGGTGCTCCTGGGGTGTGAAGGGCCCAGCACACATGGATGTGCCACGCTGGGACCCTCTGAGGAGCACCCCGACCTCTGCTGCAGCTCTGTGCTCCTTCCACCACCGCAGCACTGCGCTCCCTCCATCCCGCTCTGCTTACAGACAGGCTCCCTTAGGTTTGGGAGAAGCCTTCCTCGGCAGGTGTCAGGAATTGTGGCGCACACAGGGGCACGGCCAAGGACCCCTATTCTCAGCTGGGCTGCGACAGGCAGCCCAAACCCAAAGCAAAGCCCCTGGGAGCCACCAATATCCCACAGCCCACGGCAGGACCTGCATTCAAAGCTGATCCCCAGCAGCAGTGCCCACACTCAGGACCAATCTCCAGTGTCAGACCCACACAGCACCACCAGTGTCCACCCCCAACACCCCATACCCACTACCAGCACAAACACCCCTTACCCAGTAACCAGGATCTCCATGGCATCAATGCCCAGCGCCTCCCAGCCCCATTCCCAGCGCTGACCCCCAGTGCCACTGCACTGATGCTTCCACCACCACCTCCTTTGCAGGCTCTCGTGCCGCTGCCTTTGCAGCTTTATGAATATTGTAGCAAAGCCATTCCTTTCATCTCTGCTGCCTTCCAGGGACCCCCAAACCTCCTGTACATTCATTTCCACCTCACTACGCCGCTTAATTATTTAAGCTCTCCTTCCCGAAAGTGGAGCCCTTCCATTATCACTCCTTCCTCTGTGACTCACGTGGAATTTGGGGATTTGCAAACCCACCTGGAGCCTCAAAAACCCAATTTTCAACAGCATCTTCTCCATTCACCTCTGAAGCAGCACAGCCGGGCCATTTGCTGGAGCAGAATGCCCTCACTTGGTGCTTTCCTCTCCATCCTATCGCTCCATATGGGTCATTCTCTGCTTAACTGCACCACTGAGTGCCACTCGTGTGCCCCATGCCCGCTCCCAGCAGCATCCCCTGCTCTCACATCGGTGCGTCACCACCTGAATTAATCATCAGCCTCACTCCGTGCTGCTCTGCTCACCAAGAGAGATTTTTGCACATTAAAAATTAACAGCTCTAAATGATTGATGGCTGGGCAGAGCTCAGCCTGCTCCAAGATTGCTTTGCTAAATGGCTGTCACGCATCCCTGTCCCCAGACGTCCCCTGCAGAGCTTCAGGCATAGGAAGGGGGGTGAGGGGGAGCAAACTGGCATGGCAGCAGCCCCCCGAAATGAGCCTCAGCCACCCACCTGCTGGAGAGGCCGAAGGGCTCCGGGTGGTGGAACTTTCCTGGCTCATCAGGGGTGCAGAAGGGATGCTCTGCCCCTGCACTGCTGCTGGTTGTTTGCTGGCCCCACGTATGCAGGGCGAAATATGCGGTGTGTGGCAGTGCCGCAGGGCTGGCAGCTGCAATCTGGGACCTTCAGCCTTTCTCTCCCCATTATCTGCATCTCTCCACATTGCTCCATGCTGTGCACTAGCATTTGGGAGCACTGAGGGGATGCACGGATCAGGGTGGGGGACAGAGAGCTTCTTTGGCTCATCCCTGCTGTCATCATCCCAACACCTGCACAGAGGGGCTGCCCCCACCCCCCAGCACGACCCAACTGCTACCCACAGCCCCCCAGCATCCACCCCAGGCACCCAACCCAGGCATCCAGCACCCAGCCCTCACCCACCCCCTGCACCTGTCCTGGGCTCCCATCCTGTGCACCCTCAGTACCCACCCAGCACCAACCCCATGCATCCACCCCCAGCATCCACCACGGGTGCCCATTTTCAGCTCACCCCTTCCAGGACCCATCCTAGGTTCCTGCACAATGCACTTTCTCCTTTGCCACCTCCAGTGCCCACTTCCAGCACCCGTTCCTCTCTCACACCCTCAGCACCCATCCCAGATTCCCATGCAATGCACCCTTCTCACCTCTACCAACCCAGCACCCACTCCAGCACCTATCTTTAGGGTTAGGGCTAGGGTAGGGTTAGGGTTAACCCTCTCATGACCACGTAGGTCTCTGCAGCACCCAGCCTGTGCACCCACCTCATGCACCCATCTTGTGCACCCAGCTGCAGCACCCACCTCATGCGTACACCCTGTGCACCTTCTCCAGGTGTCCACCTGTAGCACCCATTCTGTACAACCACCTGCAGCCACCACCCCATGCACAAACCCTTAGCACCCCACACCTTCTGTGTCACCCCCCCAGAAGCACCCACTCCACGCATCCACCCCACACACCCCCTGCAGCACCCATCCATGCACGAACCCCGTGCACCCCCCTGTGGCACTGACCCGGGGCACCCACCTCTCGCACCCCCTCCATCCACCCATCTCCACGTACCCTCCTGCAGCACCCACCCCACGCACATCCCCCATGCACCCACCCCACGCACCCTTGCAGCACCCACCCCATGCACTCACTCCATGCAAGCACCCTCAGCACCCCACGCACCCCTCATGCAGCAACCATCCCATGCACCCACCCAACGTACCCCCTCGCAGCACCCTCCCTTGCAGCACCCACCCTATGCAAGCACCCTCAGCACCCCACGCAGGCACCCCAGGCACCCCTCTGCAGCACTCATCCCCATGCACCCACCCCTAGCACCCACTCTATGCACACACCCCATGCATACACCCTCAGCACCG